TGTAATATCTTGTATTTGGTCTGTTTTTTCCAAGTTTCCAGAGACCTGAATATTTGCAATAAGGGGGTTGATCGGTGACACTTTTGGTGCAGGTCCCTGAACAGGTCAGAAGCTTCACCCTGACCTGAGGGTGTCCACCAGGTCTCATAATGGGACATGGATGGGCTCGTTGTGCACCCAGGTCATGGCCTTGGTTGCGAGGCCCCTATGGTCCCACTCATCTCCCGTGCCTGGGGCACATGGGCCAGCACTGGAACCCCTCCCAGTCCCTGTCAGGACCTGATCCTGAGCTGTGGTTCCACTGCCATCCTTCGAAACCATCACGTTCTTGGGGCTGCACATTGGGTGCTACTGAGCTCCTCTCAGCTCCCCAAAACCTGCCTGGTACCCGCAAATCAACCCAGCCCCAGGCATCTCCATTGCTCCCAATGAGCACTGAACTTCTAAAACACTGCCCAGTTTGTACCCCAAAACCCAACCTAGACCAGGCATCTCTATCCATCCCAGATCCAATTGTATCCTTCATCCATTTAGAAATTCACCCAGTGTCCCCCAGCCCCAGACATCTTGATCCCTCCCCACACTATTTAACACTCAGACCCCAACACAAGAGGGACGTGGAGCTGCTGGAGCAAGGCCAGAGGAGGCCATTGAGATGCTGCGAGGGCTGGAGCAGCTCTGCTCTGGAGCCAGCCTGAGAGAGCTGGGCTGGGTCAGCCTGGAGAAGAGAAGGCTCCTTAAGGGAAGACCTTAGAGCAGCTCCAGTGCCTGAAGGGGCTCAGGCCTGTAGGACTGCCCAGAGGAGCAGTGGCTGCCCCATCCCTGGCAGCATTCAAAGCCAGGTTGGACGGGGCTTGGAGCAAGCTGCTCTAGTGGAAGGTGTCCCTGCCCTTGGCAGGGGGTTGGAACTGGAAAAGATTTAAAGTCCCTTCCAACCCAAACCATTCTATGATTCATGTTTGTTTTGGTCTGGCGTCTTCTCAGAGCAGACCTCTTGGACCTCCTGCAGGATGACTGTGGCTCAGGTTCCAGTGTGCGTGTGCTGAAAACCATCATGACACGGTGGCTTTTCTTGTGTAACACTGACAAGGAGACACACGTGTCCTCCAATCACACATCTCTTTATTCTCTTTTTAGTTTGATGTCAAAAGAACTGGGGTGTCGCCGGCGGGCTCCTAAGGGCAGCTGCCATTTTCGGTGGCAGGACCCAGTTAAGGGTGTCCCTCTTCATCAGTAGCAGGAAGAAGATGGCCACCATCAGCAGGAGGAAGAACAGACAAAGTATCCTGTGGGGTGGGAGAGGGCTCAGGCAGAGCAGAGGCCAAATTGGACTCAGCTCTTTCCCATCACCCGCTTTAAACAGCCCGTGGGACCTGGCACTGCCGGCACAGGCATCCGGCTGCTTAAGGCAGAGCCCTGGCCCCCGAGAGCCCAGGTCAACTCACCGCAGCCAAGAACTGATCTTCCTCCTCCATGTCGCCAACTGCTCGTCCTCCAGCCAAGGCAAACAGAGACATGCGTTGGGGCATGCGAGGGGCTGAGGTGTGGGGGCTCAGAGGCCTCCCTCGTCCCCGGTGAGCTCAGTGCCCCCATGCCCCAGCACAGCCCAGACCTTCCCTCCCCAGGACCCACTGTGTCCTACCAGCCGCTCGTCCACCATCTCCTCCAGCAGCGATGGCGTTGTCTCCTTTGCCTCCTCTGGCATCACCCTGCAAGTGACACCATGGGGTTGTAGGTGTTGACAAGAGACCTGGGCCGGCTCAGCAACCCACCGGGTGGCCACAGGGAGCCAGGGAGGTGCCCAGGCTGCGCTGGGGCTGGCACCGGCACCCCCAGCACCTGAGCCCCCAGCACCACTCACAGCAGCCAAGAAGTGAACATTTTCCTCCATGTGCTTGAAGCTTTTGGCTGTTGGAGCTGTTCCCATTTCTTCAGGAGGCGCTGGATACTGAGCCTGAGCAGCTGGACAAGCACAGTGCCTGTTCAGGAGCCCATGCTGTGCCCGCTTGGAGGTAGTGGAGCCCCAGTCCCTCCTGTCCCCGGTACCTTTGTGGCCTCAGTGTCCTGCCAAATAGCTTCTGTGAGCTCTGCCCACTGCTCCGCCTGGAAAGCAAGAGGGATGCACTGCAGGGAGCCACGGTGGCACAAGACATGCCCAGTCCTGGGGTGCCAACACACAGCAGGGTCTCCTCTGCAGCCCCTTTCCAGAGCTGCCTTCAAAGCTCAGCCATCTCACTCTGAACTCAGCACTCCCATCCCACCTACCTGACGCTGCAGCAGCTCGTTATGCAATTGTGCCTCGGCAGAAGCCTGTGCCAGGCGCTCCCGGAGCAGAGGGTGGAAGCCCTTCAGCTCTTCTGCCTGCATATCTGCAGCTCTGTGTGAGGAAGCAACCCACTGTCCTGCGGTGGGGCCCTTCCACAGCACGGCGGGGAGACGACACGGCGATGGTGTCACTCTCCCTGCTCCTGCCCAGCAGCACCCAGGTTCCCAGGGCAACCCAGCTTTATACCACCCTTATCCCAGCCTCACAGTGACAGGACAGTGACACGGCCCCTGCTGCCATTGTGACGCGGCCATCTCCTCTCTGGAACTGGTGCTAGGAGCTGAGCTGCGGCCCAGCCATGGCTGCTGGGTACATGGGGCATCGCCCTTAGCACGTGGGCACTGAGCTCTCACTGCCACTGTCCTAGTGCGTTGTGTATAATAAATACATCACTGTGTAATATCTTGTATTTGGTCTGTTTTTTCCAAGTTTCCAGAGACCTGAATGTTTGCAATAAGGGGGTTGATCGGTGACACTGTTGGTGCAGGTCCCTGAACAGGTCAGAAGCTTCACCCTGACCTGAGGGTGTCCACCAGGTCTCATAATGGGACATGGATGGGCTGGTTGGGCACCCAGGTCATGGCCTTGGTTGCGAGGCCCCTATGGTCCCAGTCATCTCCCATGCCTGGGGTACATGGGCCAGCACTGGAACCCCTCCCAGTCCCTGTCAGGTGTATTTGGTCTGTTTTTTCCAAGTTTCCAGAGACCTGAATATTTGCAATAAGGGGGTTGATCGGTGACACTTTTGGTGCAGGTCCCTGAACAGGTCAGAAGCTTCACCCTGACCTGAGGGTGTCCACCAGGTCTCATAATGGGACATGGATGGGCTCGTTGTGCACCCAGGTCATGGCCTTGGTTGCGAGGCCCCTATGGTCCCACTCATCTCCCATGCCTGGGGCACATGGGCCAGCACTGGAACCCCTCCCAGTCCCTGTCAGGACCTGATCCTGAGCTGTGGTTCCACTGCCATCCTTCGAAACCATCACGTTCTTGGGGCTGCACATTGGGTGCTACTGAGCTCCTCTCAGCTCCCCAAAACCTGCCTGGTACCCGCAAATCAACCCAGCCCCAGGCATCTCCATAGCTCCCAATGAGCACTGAACTTCTAAAACACTGCCCAGTTTGTACCCCAAAACCCAACCTAGACCAGGCATCTCTATCCATCCCAGATCCAATTGTATCCTTCATCCATTTAGAAATTCACCCAGTGTCCCCCAGCCCCAGACAATTCCTCACCCCCTCCCACACTATTTAACACTCAGACCCCAACACCAGAGGGACGTGGAGCTGCTGGAGCAAGGCCAGAGGAGGCCATTGAGATGCTGCGAGGGCTGGAGCAGCTCTGCTCTGGAGCCAGCCTGAGAGAGCTGGGCTGGGTCAGCCTGGAGAAGAGAAGGCTCCTTAAGGGAAGACCTTAGAGCAGCTCCAGTGCCTGAAGGGGCTCAGGCCTGTAGGACTGCCCAGAGGAGCAGTGGCTGCCCCATCCCTGGCAGCATTCAAAGCCAGGTTGGACGGGGCTTGGAGCAAGCTGCTCTAGTGGAAGGTGTCCCTGCCCTTGGCAGGGGGTTGGAACTGGAAAAGATTTAAAGTCCCTTCCAACCCAAACCATTCTATGATTCATGTTTGTTTTGGTCCCCTCTTCTTCCTCAGATACCTTGGAGCTCCTGCAGGATGACTGCGTGGCTCAGGTTCCAGTGTGCGTGTGCTGAAAACCATCATGACACGGTGGCTTTTCTTGTGTAACACTGACAAGGAGACACACGTGTCCTCCAATCACACATCTCTTTATTCTCTTTTTAGTTTGATGTCAACAGAATGGGGTGTCGCCGGCGGGCTCCTAGGGGAGTAGCTCCCACATTTGTGGCAGGACCCAGTTAAGGGTGTCCCTCTATCAGAGCAGGAAGACATGGCCATCATCAGCAGGAGGAAGAACAGACAAAGTATCCTGTGGGGTGGGAGAGGGCTCAGGCAGAGCAGAGGCCAAATTGGACTCAGCTCTTTCCCATCACCCGCTTTAAACAGCCCGTGGGACCTGGCACTGCCGGCACAGGCATCCGGCTGCTTAAGGCAGAGCCCTGGCCCCCGAGCCCCCAGGTCAACTCACCGCAGCCAAGAATTGATCTTCCTCCTCCATGTCGCCAACTGCTCGTCCTCCAGCCAAGGCAAACAGAGACATGCGTTGGGGCGTGCGAGGGGCTGAGGTGTGGGGGCTCAGAGGCCTCCCTCGTCCCCAGTGAGCTCAGTGCCCCCATGCCCCAGCACAGCCCAGACCTTCCCTCCCCAGGACCCACTGTGTCCTACCAGCCGCACAGCCGCAATCTCCTCCAGCAGCGATGGCGTTGTCTCCTTTGCCTCCTCTGGCATCACCCTGCAAGTGACACCATGGGGTTGTAGGTGTTGACAAGAGACCTGGGCCGGCTCAGCAACCCACTGGGTGGCCACAGGGAGCCAGGGAGGTGCCCAGGCTGTGCTGGGGCTGGCACCAGCACCCCCAGCACCTGAGCCCCCAGCACCACTCACAGCAGCCAAGAAGTGAACATTTTCCTCCATGTGCTCGAAGCTTTTGGCTGTTGGAGCTGTTCCCATTTCTTCAGGAGGCGCTGGATCCTGAGCCTGAGCAGCTGGACAAGCACAGTGCCCGGTCAGGAGCCCATGCTGTGCCCGCTTGGAGGCAGTGGAGCCCCAGTCCCTCCTGTCCCCGGTACCTTCGTGACCTCAGTGTCCTGCCAAACAGCTTCTGTGAGCTCTGCCCACTGCTCCGCCTGGAAAGCAAGAGGGATGCACTGCAGGGAGCCACGGTGGCACAAGACATGCCCAGTCCTGGGGTGCCAACACACAGCAGGGTCTCCTCTGCAGCCCCTTTCCAGAGCTGCCTTCAAAGCTCAGCCATCTCACTCTGAACTCAGCACTCCCATCCCACCTACCTGACGCTGCAGCAGCTCGTTATGCAATTGTGCCTCGGCAGAAGGCTGTGCCAGGCTGTCCCCCTTGGGAGCAGAGGGTGGGAAGTGCCATAGCTCTTCTGCCTGCATATCTGCAGCTCTGTGTGAGGAAGCAACCCACTGTCCTGCGGTGGGGCCCTTCCACAGCACGGCGGGGAGACGACACGGCGATGGTGTCACTCTCCCTGCTCCTGCCCAGCAGCACCCAGATTCCCAGGGCAACCCAGCTTTATACCACCCTTATCCCAGCCTCACAGTGACAGGACAGTGACACGGCCCCTGCTGCCATTGTGACGCGGCCATCTGCTCTCTGGAACTGGTGCTAGGAGCTGAGCTGCGGCCCAGCCATGGCTGCTGGGTACATGGGGCATCGCCCTTAGCACGTGGGCACTGAGCTCTCACTGCCACTGTCCTAGTGCGTTCTGTATAATAAATACATCACTGTGTAATATCTTGTATTTGGTCTGTTTTTTCCAAGTTTCCAGAGACCTGAATGTTTGCAATAAGGGGGTTGATCGGTGACACTGTTGGTGCAGGTCCCTGAACAGGTCAGAAGCTTCACCCTGACCTGGGGGTGTCCAGCAGGTCTCATAATGGGACATGGATGGGCTGGTTGGGAACACAGGTCATGGCCTTGGTTGCGAGGCCCCTATGGGTCCCAGTCATCTCCCATGCCTGGGGTACATGGGCCAGCACTGGAACCCCTCCCAGTCCCTGTCAGGACGTGATCCTTAGCTGTGGTGCCGCTGCTGGAGCAGATGACCCCCAGAAATCCCTTCCAGCTTCAGTCAGTCCGTGACTGCGACCTCGCCACCCCACACCTCCCCAGCCCTGCAGCAGCTCCTTACACCTTCTTGACCTCCCAGAACACTCTTCCAGGTGCTCCTCAAGCACGCGGAGCTCCTGCTTCACTGGTTCAGCCTCCATGGCGGGGTGGGTGTGCGCTGGGTGTGAGAGGCGTACAGGCTCTGAGCACAGACCCTCTTGTCCCACGGTGGGGTCCTTCCATAGCACAATGAGCACACGACAGGGCATTGGTGTCACCCTCCCAGCTCCTGCCCAGCAACACCCAAGATCTCCAGATGCTCCCCACCTCCAGGAGCAACCCAGCTTTGTGCCCACTGGTGCCCATGTCACAGCCTCATGGTGACAGTATGGTGACATGGCCACTGCCACCCATTGAAACCATCACGTCCTAGGGCTGCACATTGGGTGCTACTGAGCTCCTCTCAGCTCCCCAAAACCCGCCTGGTACCCGCAAATCAACCCAACCCCAGGCATCTCCATTGCTCCCAATGAGCACTGAACTCCTAAAACACTGCCCAGTTGGTACCCCAAAACCCAACCTAGACCAGGCATCTCTATCCATCCCAGATCCAATTGTATCCTTCAACCATTTAGAAATTCACCCAGTGTCCCCCAGCCCCAGACATCTTGATCCCTCCCCACACTATTTAACACTCAGGCCCCCAACACAAGAGGGACGTGGAGCTGTTGGAGCAAGGCCAGAGGAGGCCATTGAGATGCTGCGAGGGCTGGAGCAGCTCTGCCCTGGAGCCAGCCTGAGAGAGCTGGGCTGGGTCAGCCTGGAGAAGAGAAGGCTCCTTAAGGGAAGACCTTAGAGCAGCTCCAGTGCCTGAAGGGGCTCAGGCCTGTAGGACTGCCCAGAGGAGCAGTGGCTGCCCCATCCCTGGCAGCATTCAAAGCCAGGTTGGACGGGGCTTGGAGCAAGCTGCTCTAGTGGAAGGTGTCCCTGCCCTTGGCAGGGGGTTGGAACTGGAAAAGATTTAAAGTCCCTTCCAACCCAAACCATTCTATGATTCATGTTTGTTTTGGTCTGGCGTCTTCTCAGAGCAGACCTCTTGGACCTCCTGCAGGATGACTGTGGCTCAGGTTCCAGTGTGCGTGTGCTGAAAACCATCATGACACGGTGGCTTTTCTTGTGTAACACTGACAAGGAGACACACGTGTCCTCCAATCACACATCTCTTTATTCTCTTTTTAGTTTGATGTCAACAGAACTGGGGTGTCGCTGGCGGGCTCCTAAGGGCACCTGCCATTTTCGGTGGCAGGACCCAGTTAAGGGTGTCCCTCTTCATCAGTAGCAGGAAGAAGATGGCCACCATCAGCAGGAGGAAGAACAGACAAAGTATCCTGTGGGGTGGGAGAGGGCTCAGGCAGAGCAGAGGCCAAATTGGACTCAGCTCTTTCCCATCACCCGCTTTAAACAGCCCGTGGGACCTGGCACTGCCGGCACAGCCATCCGGCTGCTTAAGGCAGAGCCCTAGCCCCCGAGCCCCCAGGTCAACTCACCGCAGCCAAGAATTGATCTTCCTCCTCCATGTCGCCAACTGCTCGTCCTCCAGCCAAGGCAAACAGAGACATGCGTTGGGGCGTGCGAGGGGCTGAGGTGTGGGGGCTCAGAGGCCTCCCTCGTCCCCAGTGAGCTCAGTGCCCCCATGCCCCAGCACAGCCCAGACCTTCCCTCCCCAGGACCCACTGTGTCCTACCAGCCGCTCGTCCACCATCTCCTCCAGCAGCGATGGCGTTGTCTCCTTTGCCTCCTCTGGCATCACCCTGCAAGTGACACCATGGGGTTGTAGGTGTCGACAAGAGACCTGGGCCGGCTCAGCAACCCACCGGGTGGCCACAGGGAGCCAGGGAGGTGCCCAGACTGCGCTGGGGCTGGCACCGGAACCCCCAGCACCTGAGCCCCCAGCACCACTCACAGCAGCCAAGAAGTGAACATTTTCCTCCATGTTCTTGAAGCTTTTGGCTGTTGGAGCTGTTCCCATTTCTTCAGGAGGCGCTGGATCCTGAGCCTGAGCAGCTGGACAAGCACAGTGCCCGGTCAGGAGCCCATGCTGTGCCCGCTTGGAGGCAGTGGAGCCCCAGTCCCTCCTGTCCCCGGTACCTTCGTGGCCTCAGTGTCCTGCCAAACAGCTTCTGTGAGCTCTGCCCACTGCTCCGCCTGGAAAGCAAGAGGGATGCACTGCAGGGAGCCACGGTGGCACAAGACATGCCCAGTCCTGGGGTGCCAACACACAGCAGGGTCTCCTCTGCAGCCCCTTTCCAGAGCTGTCTTCAAAGCTCAGCCATCTCACTCTGAACTCAGCACTCCCATCCCACCTACCTGACGCTGCAGCAGCTCGTTATGCAATTGTGCCTCGGCAGAAGCCTGTGCCAGGCGCTCCCGGAGCAGAGGGTGGAAGCCCTTCAGCTCTTCTGCCTGCATATCTGCAGCTCTGTGTGAGGAAGCAACCCACTGTCCTGCGGTGGGGCCCTTCCACAGCACGGCGGGGAGACGACACGGCGATGGTGTCACTCTCCCTGCTCCTGCCCAGCAGCACGCAGATTCCCAGGGCAACCCAGCTTTATACCACCCTTATCCCAGCCTCACAGTGACAGGACAGTGACACGGCCCCTGCTGCCATTGTGACGCGGCCATCTCCTCTCTGGAACTGGTGCTAGGAGCTGAGCTGCGGCCCAGCCATGGCTGCTGGGTACATGGGGCATCGCCCTTAGCACGTGGGCACTGAGCTCTCACTGCCACTGTCCTAGTGCGTTGTGTATAATAAATACATCACTGTGTAATATCTTGTATTTGGTCTGTTTTTTCCAAGTTTCCAGAGACCTGAATGTTTGCAATAAGGGGGTTGATCGGTGACACTGTTGGTGCAGGTCCCTGAACAGGTCAGAAGCTTCACCCTGACCTGAGGGTGTCCACCAGGTCTCATAATGGGACATGGATGGGCTGGTTGGGAACACAGGTCATGGCCTTGGTTGCGAGGCCCCTATGGGTCCCAGTCATCTCCCATGCCTGGGGTACATGGGCCAGCACTGGAATCCCTCCCACTCCCTGTCAGGACCTGATCCTGAGCTGTGGTGCCACTGCCACCCTTCGAGACCATCACGTTCTTGGGGCTGCACATTAGGTGCTACTGAGCTCCTCTCAGCTCCCCAAAACCTGCCTGGTACCCGCAAATCAACCCAACCCCAGGCATCTCCATTGCTCCCAATGAGCACTGAACTCCTAAAACACTGCCCATTTGATAACCCCAAACCCAACGTCATGCTTTATGCCGAGGCTGTAAATCTGAACCACTCAGTGTACTCCCCCAATTCCCTCTCACCCAGTTCCCAGAGGGATGGGGATTGTAATCGAAAGAATGGAACTCCCATGGGTTGAGATAAGAACAGCCCTGTAACTAAGGTATAACACAAACCACTATTGCTACCACCAGTAATAATAATGATAAGGGAAATAACAAGGAAGAGAATATAATACCACTTGTCAAATCGTAGCCCGACCAAGCAGTTAACCAGACCCCCTGAGTAACTCCCAGTTACATCCTGGACATGACGTGGTGTGGTGTGGAATACCTCTTTGGCTACTTTGGGTTAGGTGTCCTGTCTTTGCTTTCTCCTGGCTTCCCTTCCTCCCTTGCAGAGCATGAGGCTCACAGAGTCCTTGGTTTGACTAAACATTTAGCAGTAACTAAAAACATCGGTGTTATCAGCGCTGTTCCCAGGCTGAAAGTCAAGAAACACAGCACTGCAGCACCTACTAAGAGGGAGAAAAAAATTACTGCTACTGCTGAACGCAGGACAATGTAAAGCAATTTAATTTAAACGCATGCACTACCTCATTCACCACACCAATCCATATGAGTTAAGAACATCAGCGAAAAAGGGTAAAAGCAAGAGAAGAGAAAACTAGGAATTACTGCAAGAGAAGTATTTTTGGACCCAAATCAAACCCAGTATCAAACAGCACTAAACAGACACAGAAGATTCTGGCAAGCCTGGATGGGTTACTTTGGGCTAAACTTTCTAAGTACAGGCAAAGAATTTCTTTACACCCATCTTTCTGTGTTCATGACTGTTTTTATAAAGGAACAATCCCCCTTACTGTTGTTCAGTCCATGTATGCTATAAATCTACTCATTATAGTTTACTCATAAAAACAAAGTATTGGTTGTAGCTTTCTCCTCCCCAAGAAAAAAATCAACAAACCAAAAAAGTGGAGTTTTTTAACCATAAGCTACCAATATATTTTTCACATAATGAAAATACTTCCCTAAGATTACAAGGCCAAAGCAGCTTGAAGGAAGGAAAACCACACTTTTTTTACTTGGAGCACTTCTTAACAGAATTAGGACCAGATTTTGTGTCATTTTGTAACAGGGGAAAACAAAATACATTTGGCATTGTTAAACCATTGCCCAGTTGTAATCCAGAGAAGAATCTGGCAATCTTTATTAACCCTGTTTTATTGAATTTGCTCCACATGGAAATCCATTTGTTATTGCCATTATCGTAGAGATTGCTCTGTTCATGAAAGGTATTTAGCCATCAGTAACCTCCTGGCACTGCTTATTGCCAGAACTTTTAAGTGATGCCAAGAGTCATATTGGCTATGCAAAACATGAGCAGTGTCCTATTATATTTGATTGTACCTCAGAATGTGCCATCACTAATGATAGTAATACTACTGGTGTCTATAATGAATATAAAATAACTTGTTCTCATCATTTTACGAGGAAAAATGGCCAGTAATTTATCTCTAAACTGATTCATGGATGGTGGCGAATGCCCTTGGGGTTGGTTGCAGCAATGGAGGCAGAGCAATTGGCAACGCACAGGTAAACCCATCTGGGCTGCTGCACTGTGGCAAGATATCACTGCCTAGGTGCAGAACCTGGTGATGAAGGTATGCCATGTAGATGAGCATGTACCTAAGAGTCGGGCCACTGAGGAATGTCAGAACAAACAATAGGTGTATAAAGCTGGTAAGATTTAAGTGGCTCAGATGGACTTAGATTTGCAACATAAAGGTGAATTATTAGTCTGGTGGGCCCATGACAACTCAGACCATCAAGGCAGAGATGCAACATACAGGTGGGCTTAAACCACAACAGTTCTTTATGGCTGCTCTTGGTTTGTCACTGCCAACTAATGGTTTCCTGGGCAGAAAGTGCTCATCAGACAAAGAAAACCTCTGAAACTAAACCAGCAAGCAAGCACATTCAGATCCACTGACCACTGGCTTTACTAGTGGCAAGGAAATGTGGGTGAATCTGTCCATTTGTTAATGGACAGATTAGCTTGATTTAGTGATGATTAGTTTGTTTGAGAGCGCTCAGGGCAGAGTGATGCTGCCCAAGTTGGCAGTTTCCTGATTCTGCTGGGAAGGCAGTGCTGGCACCACAACAAGCCTGAGGGTTAAGGTTTGGGGTGGCTCCTCACATGGAGCTCCTCATTTTTTTTCTGCAATATCATTTTATTAAGCTCTGGAGAGAGAAGACACCATGCCTAAAGAGAAAACAGATGGTCTTATGGGAATCAGTAGGGGAAGGGTTCTTAAGCTGGGCTATGTGAGGCTACGCTGGGTCTCCAGCATGCAATTTAATTTTATGTGATCTGGCTTATCAAGTCCTTTTCTGCATTACCGTGTTCTCAGGCAACCGCTGATGCAATTCAATGGACCAAAAACATTATGCAAAACAACCCTTTCTAGTTATCCAGCTTTAGAAGAAATGCATTGAGGCATTATATTCATATTGTCTGTGGTTTAAGTTTAGGAAGAATAACATTACTATCTGAGGCTACATTTTTTTAACAATTAACATTTAGGATGGGTTTTTTTCAAGTTCTCCTCCTGTATCATCAGAACACTCAGAATTATTAACCCAAAGTATGTGTTATATTTTACCATCAAGTTACACGCACACACAAATACTCTCCCTTGAGTAACAGATCTTCTGCTTGTAGCAGAAACACTTCAGATTCCAGCAAGACGATACCGTTGGAGGTCACCCACACTTCTTGAACTATTAAACCTGATAATGGGTTTCTTACTGGCTATAGTACTTGACCGTGCTTCTGTAAATTATTTCTTACCAAGCTATATTGGCCTAAAAATTTACCACCTACCTTCCTTAACTAAAATCTGCTCTAAATTCTTGGAGCTTTTTTATTTTACCAAATGATTAATTCTGGTCCTGGTTCACCATTTGTCTGCATAACTTCCATATGCATGCTGTATCTTACTGACATCACTAGGATTTATGAACATGCATACACAATTTGCTGCAGCAATGCTTTTTGTGATTACTGAGCATGAGCAGAAATACAAACACAGTTTTAGCACATTTGAAATAGCTACAGGAAAACCCTAAACATTTATTTTGACCATGACTCTTCTGAACAATTGTAACTTGCTAACTAGATTGCACAGACAGCAAGTCTTTTACTAGAATTAGTTGAACTTATGAAATTTATGTTTACTGTTAATATTGAGATTCTTAATGCCATTTAGAAGTGGACCCACTTCCATTTGCATGAGCACAGGGATCCTGTGTTGCATACAATGTCAATGCACAGCCCTGTGTATCGCAAGAACTATAAGTAGTTTCCCATCTGTCAGTTAATGGAGTAGCAAAATATCATGAAGGCAAGATACTGCTTTTGTTTTTATTTCTGAATGCTACCCACACAGCAATTTGTGGAATGCAAAGTGCATTTTTACCACAAGTGGAAATTAATATATTTTCATTAAT